TCAAATACTTATTTATGTAACAATCAAATGCTAAGCATTCCAGCTGCACTTGTAAACTTTTTATGAACTGAAGTCATACGCACAAGCTCAGCTAAACATACTTGACAGAGGGAGGAGCGTGAGGAAACTGTTAACTCTCGGAACTGAAGTTTCATTGCAGTACGACCTTCTGGCAGTGTTATGGACCAGTGTTTGGTGTGACAACTAAGCTGCTGGCTCATGTGAGATTCATTTCATTCTAGTAAGTAGAATCAGAAATATCCAATCAATGGGTCAAAATCATGATTTAGCAGCTACCTTTTTTGGACATAAGTTAGTCAGGAAAGAAAATCATATACAGATTAGAAAATAAAGCAACATAATGATATTGAGTCATTAAGAAAAAAATATTTGATACTGAAGTGAAAAAATATTTTTCTCAACACATCCTAGAGCTAGCACAGGTAGGCTGATGGACTGTGGCAATGTATAAATTAGAAAAGATAGCATAAAAAGAGGAGGCGCTTCTGTATGGTAATCATCTGATATTGCTCCTAATGAAAATTAATGTGTGAAACTTGCCTCCTTAGCGACAGGATAAACAGTAACTATCTTAAACCCATTTTAAAGAGTACAAAGGCAAGAACAGAGGGAAATAAGTATTTCTACGCTGTTTTTCTCTTCTACTAACAAAAGAAACTGGATACACATTATATTTCCCTAATCATTGTTTTGATCCAATTTCTAGAGTATGCAATATTGCAAAAAGGAACTCACATAGTTCTTTAATTTATGAACAGAAGATCTAAAGTGACTTCTGCCAGGTTGAGGTTAAAAGGACATATTTTGGGGGAAAAATATGAATCTCCTCCACCCTTGATCTGACCAGCAAGATTCTGAAAGTTTCCTTTAGAATCAACCAGATGTTTCAGAGTGATGCATTGATCTTGAGGTGTGAAAATCTGGAATCTATGTGATCTTCCTGCATGCACTTTACTTATGCCAGCACTTGCAATCACAAATCTTGGGCCTAGAAAAAATCTTTTCTTTCCCCCATGTAGCTTTACAATAGTGGCTTTCAACCTTACATATATATAAAAAATCTCAAACCTAGGCCCCTCCCTAGACCAATTAAGTCAGAGTGAAACTCAGGAATCAGCCCCATGTGATGGTGCCAAGTCTGAGAACACTGCTTAGAATGAGGATGGGCATTCTTTAGGGATCATGGGATTAGTTTTGCAAATATAGCATTTTTGAAAAATAATTTGGAAGCACTAGGTGCTCTCCATGCTCTAACTTTTAATTAGGCCTGGAATCTGGGATTATTAACACAACAGCTCTGATTCTTCAAAATATACCTCTTCTCCCATTTTGATAATACCTTAAGGGCTGGCAGACGAGGATAGGCAGTCTAGACTTCTAAGCCCTACTGTTTCCTCCATTTTAGCTGAAGAAGAATGGAAAAAGAACAATGGATATTTATCATTTTTGAAAAATTATGAAAAAAAGTAGTAAATTTTGCTTATAAAACTACATTGTTCAATCATGAAGGTGATGGAGAGGGTGGGGTTTAAGTGGGATCTTAAATCATAAGGAGAACAGGACTTAATAATGTTTTAAAAATGCCTTTTAGAACTTTTTGAAACAATGTGGCATATATATGCAAATTTCTGGGCAAACAGTATCAGCCAATGGAATAACTAGAATTCAACTTCAAGAAGAGTGACTCTAAGTCCCCCTCTGCCTGGACAGTTCCAGGTTATACCTATTGTCTCAGAGTAGTTACTAATAGTACCTTCTTTGATGCTCAAAGCATCCTGTTTGGATCATAAATTACATTATAAGGAATTAGAGAGTTTTTATTGAGCAGAGAACTCAGTCTAAAGTAGAACCAAGATACATGAATTACACATAGTAAGTACTCAACAAACATTAGCTGCTATAAGATTATTGTCATTATTATTAATTCACAAGCCACAGGTTTTAAAGACAGTCTATGTATGAAAAGGAAACAAAAATGCACACCCCAATATTTCAGTCATATCTCTACAACTGAATATTGTTTTTCTCTACAGTCCCACATGTGGCCATGTAGTGTCATCTGAAAATAGATGGCAGTCTTCTTACTCTTTTTTTGTATACAAAAATGTAATTCGAGATAATTACAAAAGGCTTTTTGTCTTCAAAATGTCAGAGGGATTTGTATAATGTAAAGATAGCTTTTAAATTATTACCAAATATGGCCTTTCTTATGATTATTATTATCCAAGTTTAGCAAATTACCTTCAATGCTTTGGGACAAGAAGGCAAAAAAATAAAATATAAAAAAGACAGGAATGGCATTTAGAGCTGCTTTAAATACAGCTATCTAAAGTGTTCTCTTGTTTTGACTTATTCCAGAAGGAAAACTTAAAACAATGAGTAAATGAGTATAAGTTACAAAGAGGCATATTTTAGCTCAACATAAGGATTTTTAAAATAGAGTTGTCCAACAGAATGGTTTGTTTCAGGAAATGATGAGCTCCTTTGCTGAAGATATCCAAATTGAGATCGGATAAGCATATGCCAAGGATGCTGCAGGAAACATTTCTGCACTGTGTGGGAGATTAGCCAACAGAAGATGATGTCTTAGGTTCCTTCCAATGCTAAATTTTATAATCTTATGTCTATTCCAAACATTAATAACTACTTTAATGATACACACTCTGAGGGCCTGGTTAAGAAAATGAAAAAGAAGAAAAACAAACAAATAAACTTCTCTTGGGTTCCAGGGAAAGCAGACTATATGAAGACGCTTTTTTTTAATGCTAAGATAAGAAAAGTTAGTGCATTTTAAAAGTATATGCTTTATGATGCACGCAATTATTTTATAAGATATAGTACAAACAATAAAACATGCATTTCTACAAGTAAATGAACTGAAGAATAAGAAATCATTTGCTGAATTATTAAATTACACCAAACAAGAGAATAAGAAGCTAGGCAGAAAGCCACTGAAGGACTTGCTGAGCAAGGTTTTCTATAGTCTTACAGTCCTAGGGGGACAAAAACTATAGTTCAGAAACTTCCAAGGGGGAGAGATCTTAATTAAAAACTCCAGGATTCAGTTAGAAACACAGGTGTCCACATACTAGAAAAGCAGAGACAAACAAAAGGTAGACTGAGCATCACCAAATCTGCAATTCAGTCCTAGAATTAGAATATGGTAATCTGCCAAGATTCTATTGGCAAACCAGATCCATAGAGAAAGATAACATTATCCAGAGCCTCTACAGGTTAGCAAACATAATATTTGATACTAATAAAAAAATAAGAAAAACAGACATGACACAAAATAGGACAGGAGAAAAAATCAGATCAATTGATGACCCATTTATTGGAATTATCAGGTTGGATAAAGAGAGCTATAATTAGGTTCAAAAAATAAATAACATGAAGAATTTATAAATTCTAAAAAATCAAATAGAAATTCTGGGACTAAAAATGTAATAACTGAAATTTAAAACTCAATACGTGGGCTAAAGAGAACATTGGAAGATGAAGAGAGGATAAGTGATCTGAAAGAAATACCAGAAAGTATTTGGGTTGAAATTTGGTGAATAAAAGAGATGAAACACTAAAAAGTTTATAGCTTTAATATAAGATGAGTAAAAAAGTATACCTAATTGGCATCTTAGAGGAAAAACAGGACAGGAAAAAAAATTGAAATAAAGGCAAAGAGTTTCCAAATTGAAAGACATCAAGTCAAAGAAAACTGCAACAAGTCACATCATAGCAAAACTGCTGAAAAAAAGACAAAAAAATGTCCAAATTACAGAAATAAGAATGATAGTTGATTTTTCAATGGTAATAATGAAAGACAGATAATGGAATGACATTTTCAAGTTGCTGAAAGAAAGCTGTCATCCTAAGGTTTTATACCCACCAAAAATATCCTCCAAAAGTGAAAGTGAAATAAAGACATTAGCAAACAAACAAAAAAGCAAGTGAAATTGTTGCCAGCATATGCCCACTAAAATAAATACAAAAATGAGTTCTTCTGAAAAAAGAAAAATAATTCCAAGGAAACATAGAAATTCAACAGGGAGAGTAAAAACTGTGGGTAAATATAAATGAATACTGACCATACAAAATAGAAACTATGATGTGTTCTGAGGAATAAAACATAGATAGGACTAAAATGTTTGATAACAATAACACAAAGAACGGTGATATATGGACTTAAATATTCTAAGGGCCTGGCATTTTCCAAGAAGTTTTAAATGTATGAAACTATATTAGGTTGTAATAATTAGGTTGCTGTAAATGGCAATATTTCATTTTTTATGGCTGAGTAATTCCATTTTATATATATATATATATATATATATATATATATATATATTACAACTTCTTAAGCCAGTCATCTGTTGACAGGTACCTGTGCTGCTTCTGTGTCTTGGTTATTGTAAATAGTGCTGCTATGAACATTGGGGTGCATGTACTAAAGAATACTTTTAATAAACCTTCCTTAATTGGCATATATACAACCCTGCACCAAATAATAAAAGAATACATACATATATGAATCATTTACCAAAACTGATCATGTGCTCGGCCATAAAGCAAGCCTCAACAAATTGCAAGAGACTAAAATTATCTAGAGTACATTCTTTGACTATCATTTAGTTAAGCTAGAAATCAATAACCAAAAAATTACAAATATATTTGTTTCATATTCCAAACTAAGACTATAACAAATTGGAATTAATTCATACTTATTTTCAGTTAATTACCAAAAAAATTTAAATAGTGTTTTAACTTTTCATAGATGAAATAATATATAGAATTGCTTTTCTTAATTATTTTTGCCTATATATCAAGTTCCCCTTTTAAAGATGTCACTATATATACTTGGGATCAATAACATGATAAAGATTATAGTTGAATTGAAAACTTTGTTATTAAAAAAGAGCCAACTTGTCAACTTCCTTCACATATTTAGTTGATTGCTACAAAATCAAGAAAACATGTCTACTAACCTTGATAGACTGACTATATGGTCCAATGCTAGCAGGTGCCCAGTGAGAAATATTCTGAACATGCAGAATCTCTTCAGGGTGAAAGAGACCATCATCAATCTTTATGTCACTCTGGTGGATAAGGCAATCTATTGAGAAAAGTACTTCTTCTGGCAACATAGTTTCTACACATACTCTGAAAAATAAACCAAATTTAAAAGAACAATGTAAAACAAAAAAACAAAACCAAAACCAAGAAAATCGATGTGGAAAGGAACTTCTCTCATTGTTGTAGTTCAAGGTCACTGATGGAACCTAAACATTAATTTCTTGTCCCTCTAAAAATTCTACTGAAGTGACAGTAGAAATATAAATCTAAAAATATATCTGTAGCAATGCTGCAAAGTTAGAGGGTACTACCAGCATGCAAGAATAGGAAGGAATTTATGGAAGGTATAAAATAAAATTGGGAAAGAAAGATTAAGAAAGAATTACACAGTAGAATCATCCTGAAGGCAGGACACTGGTGCAATTGTTCTACCACCCTAACCAACCAGACATAACCTGTTCTTCTCAGTTCCCTGCAGTCTTTTATCTTGGGCTTATTTATAGACTCCTTTTGTTCTGAAGGATATTTTCCATCTCTATGGAGCTGCAGGCTCCCCTTTGCTGGTATATGCCATCAATCTTATCCTATTTGCTTTATACCTTCCAGAAATTTGCACTTCTGATGGCACCCTTCCCTGCTTTCTAAAGTTGCTATGGATTTATTATTGTTTTACATTTCTTCTGTCATTTCAATGAAATTTTGGTAGGATAGAAAGATAAAAGCTGTCAAAATATGAGTCGGCTCTCTTGAACCAGTATATAAATTTCTATGTCAATTCACTTGAATTATCTGAGCAATTAAATAAATGTAATCTGATAGCACTTCCTAGTTTACTGAATTGGGAGCCATCTGTCTTAATTCCAACTCTCCACTAATGTTTTAGTAAATTCATCCAGACTCTGCTTTTTCAATCTTGCTTCAGCATAAGAAGTATACCCCATCCCTTCTCTACTCCTACCCTCTTTTGTATCTCCAATCTTTCTCCTGTGGGCTCTTCTTTTCTCTTAAAACAGATTTTAAATTTCCCTATTCTAAAAATATCTCTTCCGTTTCACCTCCCTCCTACCTTTCACAGCCCTCACATTAACTCCTAAGCGCGAAGAGCAATAAACATTGCCAAACACTCACCCTTGAGGAAGCCTTCCTGGGAGTTCCCTGATCCCAACGCTACTGTGGTCCTTGTCCTACCTCTATATCAACTCTTTAGTCTGAAGGTAGTGGGACAGTGGGGATTCTCTCAATGTTGTGTGGAAAGGGTACTAATGCCAAAGACAGAGAAGAATCATGGAAGTTGATCAGAAATAGGAAGAAAAGAATGAAAAACAATGTTGAGGCCCTCATAAGTCAAACCTATGTTCTTTTCTTAGTCTTCATTTGTAGTAATGAATACTACTGAGCCCTGACTCTTGTTGAAGGTATCTTCCCTAGGATTCCATGGTCCTACTTGAACTCGGTCCTCTTCCTACCTCTTGGATAATTCCTTCTTAGTCTGAAGGGAGTCATATAATGGGGGAGGTTTCTACAATAGGGAGGGCAATCTGTAGGAGTGTCAAATATATATATATTTTTGAAATTCATCAAAACTTTGAAGGAATAGATGGAAAACAGGACAAAGCCTGAGAAAACAGGGTTGGAAGCAATATGAATTGAAAGGTGGATTTAACCAGTTAGTTGGGAAACAAAGCAGAAATAACACTTGGTTTCAGAGCCAATGAGGTCTGAATAGGAAGTTGTAATCTTAGTGCTGCCTACATGGTGGAATGGCTGGCAGATGTCAGGCGCTTAAGCCCTTAAGTGTAGCAAATCAGATGAGCATTTCCAATCTCATCTGCCTAATGGGAAAAGAGCTTCTCATATATTGAGTCACTGTCCTCCACTGGTTCTGGGGGCAGATGGGTTAGCCTTCTCATGGCTGGATGCTGCTCACTGTGGCTACCTGGAACGGGCCTAGAGCAAGGCAGAGATCTTGGAGAAAGTACCAATTTCCCTGCTTAATGCCACAATATTTTTTTATCCCATGCCTACTAAGTCTTAAAGCATTCTCTCATCAGTAAATTCTTTTCTGCTTATTTACTTCTAGTGGGACGTGGGTTGTTTTATAGAAAAATTATTTTTATCTCTGAGTGTGCCATGGAAAAAGTCTTTTTACTTTCTTTTGTTTTTAAAATATATGTCCCTAGTATAGTGTTCTGCATCAAAATTAAGTAAATACCTATTTCTAGAAAACTTCCTATAAAAAATTAACTTTTCTGTCAAACAACTGGAATTTCTTGAAGCATTTTATATTGTACAATCAAAACCATTCTTATTTTCTTCTTTCACTTTTTAAAAATAAATAATTAATTAATTAATTTTATTTTCGACTTGTTGGGTCTTCGTTGCTGTGCACGGGCTTTCTCTACTTGCAGTGAGTGGGGGCTACTCTTCATTGCGGTGCGTGGGCTTCTCATTGTCGTGGCTTCTCTTGCTGCGGAGCACGGGCTCTAGGCACGCAGGTTTCAGTAGTCGTGGCTCACGGGCTTAGTTGCTCCACGGCATGTCGGGTCTTCCTGGGCCAGGGATTGAACCCACGTCCCCTGCATTGGCAGGTGGATTCTTAACCACTGCGCCACCAGGGAAGCCCTTCTTTCACTTTTTAATTTGAAAGTTATATATTCCAAAATAATTGGAAAAGATAATTAAATATTAGCAAATTGTCCTGATTAGTCTTGTGCAGGCAAAACAACAACAAAACATCTGATGTTTGGTTGTTTAAGATTATGTCTGAAACCATTTATTTTAAGGATAATTAAAACAAGGCCAAATTAGACAATTTGAAAATGACCATACACTGGAGGTATAGAGATGAGTTGAGGGAGTAAAAGGAAGAGTGTACTGGTTCCACGAAGATTCATTCTTTACCTCACTGCCAATGCCACTTTCCAATATTAGTTTTTCTCTCCTCATATCCCAGAATCCCTTTATTTCTTAAGCCTTACCATGAATGTGTATCTCCATTTGTGAATTACTGACAACTGTTGTTAAGAAATAGTAAGAACTGGTAAATAAGAGAGGGAAATAAAAGAAACCTGTGATAATAAACCATGCTAGAAAACATGAAAACCACATAAATTTGAAAAACAACACAACCACTATACCAATGGGAGAGAACATGATAACGAACAGGTTTCAAAGTCAGGGATATCAGAGCATGAACCTTGAATGAGGATTAAAGGAGATAACCAGAGAAATGCCTGGTATCAGGCATTCAGGCAACTTTCCCTTCATGTAGCAGTAAGTTACATACCTTGCAGGCAGGCAATGCTTGAAGGTGGTCACATATGCTGAGTTAATAGATGAGAAATCTTTCATGTTTTTCAGATAGAGACGGACCAAAATAATATCTTTCAATTCCAATCTCTTAGATTTAATAGTAGCTGCAGAAGGAAACATATCCATAAGTTTAGGAAAACTATGAAAATTATTAGTGATATCTTGAGTAGATTTTATACAAAATACTTGCCATTTATAATATTTATATTCTTGACAATGGATTAGTGTGATTGCAGTATTTGGTGATGGTATAATGCAGAGGTTAGCAAACTTTTTCTATAAAGGACCAGATAGTAAATATTTTAAATTTTGCAGGCCAAGAGGCAAAATTGAGGATATCATCTGGAACATAACAAATTATAGAAAATCTAACAAAATGTAGAAAACAAATTGCTTTGTTAACAAAATTCAAAATGTAATAATAGTAATTGAGATCATTAAAAAATACATGTCTACTAATGAGAAGAATGAAGTTCTCTTTTTTTTTTCTTTTGGGATAACATTTCACTTAATAAGGGTTCAAAGTTAGTATTCCCTGGCATCAGTTGCAAATGTTCATTTGTAAAAATCCTTCTTAGCTTGTAGGTGGTATCAAAATGGCAGCAAGCTGACTTTGGCTTGTGGGCCTTAGTTTATTGACTTCTACACTAATGGTCTTTAAAGCTACCATAATTTGGCCTTTTATAAAACATGAAACGTGACTTTAAACTTTAGGTTTTAAGAAATAAAGCATCTGCAACTTATCAAGGTTTTTTTCCTGTATAAACTTCATGTTAATAAGATTAAATCAGTGAATATATTTTAAAGTGTTACCTTATGCAAAAAAAAAACCCATTGATTTTTATTTCAGAATACTTCCAATGAGTAATATCAATGATTTTAATACTTTATGTCTTAGCAAATGATAGCCAGAGTAAGGAAATAAACCATTACCGAAATTTCAATTAAAACAAATTGATCTAATTTCTGACCCTTAAATTGCTTGTAATGTCCTCTACACTAGATCTGAGCTTTGGACACTTCCCAGTTAGATCCACTGAAAATGATAGATTATAAATACTAAAAAGTTAATACCATTTTCTTAAGGATTGTTGATTGTTTCCAATACTGTTATTCCTTACTTTCTCCAAAGTTCTGGAAATGAGATAAATCTTGATTGAACCAAGAAACTAAGAGGATTTAAGAAGATAAAGAAGTAAGAAACCAGAATCACCATCTGTTGAGACTGAAGATTACTAATAAAACAGAAAAGGGCAGTAAAATTCTTGGGATGAACTGAATCCTGGGATGATCATTGACTTTATGGGACTTAATTATTAAGGAACTTGAGGGAAAGTACCTCTCTTTAAGGGTGTTCCAGTTAGAACTTCGAATTTCAGGCAAAGAATGCTTAGAAGATAACTGCACAGCTAATCATCAATAAAGCAGATAAAAGAAGTAGGATTTAATATATATTATATATTTTGAATAGAAGAAAACAGAAAACAAAATAACCTTCAAAGAGCTCTGTATGAAGATCTTAAGCTGCTTTTAAAATTAATATTATTTCATTCTTATACACTGAAACATTAAGTCAAATATAATAATCAATTTGCTTCATGTACCAGCAAACAGCCATTCTTGGGATGCCGCATTTCCTTTTTTTTTTTTTTTTTTTGTAGGCCACTAAGCTCATTAATTCAACATTCACTGGCTATATTCTTTCTTGAAGTACTAAGAAAAATGAATTTAAATTATTCTGAAGTGTTATAGCTTAACATGCAAGTTAATACTTAAAAGTGAACCAAAGTTTAAAAAAGGTAAAGGAAAATCCCTAAGCAAATATTAAAGATTTAGTATCAAAAGCTAAAAAAGAAAAATTCCATTTCTGAGGAACTTCTTGCTTCAAGAACTATGAAACATTTGACTACTGGAAGATTTTCATTTTTTGTACATTTCAAAGAAAAACAGACTGCTATTTTTCTGAGTTCAAGTAAAATTCTGTGGAAGAGTAGAGATTCAGCCCAGATGAGCTTTTCCCATTCCTTTCTGTTTGGTGATCCTTTGATAAACATGACACCCAACAGCATTTATACCTAGGAGACAGAGGATACAACTAACAGGCAAAGGATTTAAAGTTCCCATGTCAGGATCCCTCTACAACTTCTCTTAGTCTAGAAGTAAAGAGAATTAGGAACTTTCCTCACTCACATCTTTGGTTTAAACAGTGTCTGATAGCTGCAGAGAGATTTTGAATTGGAACTCATGTTACACAAAATGTATCTACATTTGGGACTTGGGGCTCCCAACCCAAAGCTATTCCTTGAGGAAGATGTGCAGGTTATAAGGGTTTCCTGCCCCATTTTCCGGCAACACCTGGCTGGTTTGCTTGCCTACTAATAACACTTGGGATGGAGCTGCTTCCACTTGTGATGTGTTTGGAGACACATACGTCTTTGCACTGCCATGTGGGAAAAACTAGGGGTCCTGCTAACATGCAGCTACTCTCAAACTACAGTAGAAAACAGATAGGCCAAAAGGTCCACTATTATACACAGCTTCCCAGAAGTTGAAGGTCATCTGTTACTGTGACCAATCTCTTTTTTCTGATCAAGTCTATACTGGGTATATGTGCCAAGGAATGCAACTTTGGGACCATCAAGATACTCTATTGCTTTTTAATCCTTTGGAGATTATCCTTCCCATTATTCCATTGTACTATCTACGTTCATGACATTTTAATGCCAAGAGTTTTAAGCTGAGGGATTTCCACATAGAAACCTAATTTTCATCCTAAAAATTAATTCATAAGAAAAAATTTTATTTATTTATGCACCTGTAAACCTCTCACTCCCAAAATGATTTGAGACAGCCACCTGTGAAAATTTACCTTGCTGGTAACTTTGTTAGAATCTGTTATCGCACTAATGTTATAAACAAGAGATAATTGACCAAGACTCTGAAAGTGCTTAGTCTCTTGCATTTAGAAGATTATTTCAACTAGCTTATACTAAAACAAACAAAACACTGGGTTATGGATATTTGAGTGTGTTTTTTATATAATATTTTTGATCATTTTTGTATGTCTTGAACATCCCATAAATTTCAATAACAATAAAAAGCTACACCATATTTGCCATATTGGTAAAATAAAAGACATTAATAATAGCCAGTTTGGGCAAGTTTTAGCAAGTGTGAGTAAGCTGGAACTCTTATGCACATTTTAGTAGGCATATAAATTGGTTCAAACTTTTTGAATAGCAATTTAACAAAGTGTTCATAGTCCATATTTGTAATATGAAACATAAAATACAGCTTTTGGAAGACAACATGGTCTTCATGATCTTGAGATAGGGAAAGATTTTTCTTAAATGAGACACAGAAAGCATTAACCTTAAAAGACAAGAAAAGGAATGAATTGTTCATCAAAAGACATCATAAATAGAGTAAAATGGGAAGCCACAGTATCTGACACAGCTCACATCTAAAATAGAAAAAGAATTCTTACCAATTAATTAAAAACTATGACAGAGGGGTTTCCCTGGTAGCACAGTGTGTAAGAATCCGCCTGCCAATGTAGGGGACAGGGGTTCGAGCCCTGGTCTGGGAAGATCCCACATGCCGTGGAGCAACTAAGCCCATGCGCCACAACTACTGAGCCCACGTGCCACAACTACTGAAGCACATGCACCTAGAGCCCGTGCTCTGCAACAAAAGAAGCCACCGCAATGAGAAGCCCACACACCACAACAAAGAGTAGCCCCCGCTCACCGCAACTAGAGAAAGCCCGCACACAGCAATGAAGACCCAATGCAGCCAAAAATAAATAAATAAAATAAGTAAATTTATAAAAAAAAAAACAAAAAAACTATGATAGATAATCCTGTAGGAGAATGTACAAGAGACCTAAACAGACAAGTTACAAAAGAAGATATCCAAATGGCTAGAAAACACGATCAGAGAACTACAGATTAGAAATATATTGACATACCACTATGTACTCACTAGGATGGCAAATATTAAAAAGACTGACAACACAAAGTGTTGGTGAGGCTATGGAGCTAATGGAACCCTAATACACTGCTGGTGGGAGTTCAAATTGTTTTAAACACTTTAGAAAACCCAGCAATTCTACTCAATAAAAATGAATACACATTTGAACCAAAGATATGTACTAGAATATTCATAGCACTATTATTTGTAAACCCATAAAATACCCAAATGTCCATCATAAAATGGATATAGTACATCCACACAATATGAATACTTTTCAGAAAAAAAAGAAAAAGGAAAGTAAAACCCCGACCATTTATACAACAATATGGATGAATTTTATAGCCACAATGTTGAGTGAAATGAAGTGGAAGAATCCAGGCACAAGGAACACATAAGAATAAATAATAAATATTTACTTTATATAGAGCTCAAAAACAAGCAAAACTAATTATCTGTGATATTAATTGTGAGAATGGTGTTCACTGTCAGGAAAGGGAGAAGGAATAGTGACTGAGAAGGGCACAAAGCTATGAGGAGGACTTCTGCAGTCTTCATAATGTTTTATATTTTGACTTGGGTAGCAGTTACACAGGTGTGATCACTTTGTGAAAATTAACTAATTTGTATATTTGAATTGTGCTCTTTTTTGTGTGCTAATACTTCAACTAGAATGTAAGATAAAAAGCAGTTTATGGATGTCCTAACAGAGATCCTCTCAATATCATTTAATTCATCCTGAGGCAACTGAACAGACGCAGTTCTTCTTGCTTCTCAATCTGTACTGCCATCATCTTCTAATACATTTTGGTTGTATTATACCTGTGTTACTTAATATTTTTTCTCACTGCCATTTCTGTATTACTGCATTTCTCTTTTCCTTAGAGTGAAGAATGTAAGTCTGATAGCATCCAAGAGTCATTTTGCGTTGAAGTTTTTTCTGAATAATTTTATCCTTATTAACTGAAAACAATTTCCTTCTATTTTTCAAAAACTATCTCTCCTCTACCACCTATTTCTATTCTGTTTATTTGAAACTGGGACCTCCCCGATTTTTCTTCCATGTCTCTCAATTTTTCTCCCATATTTTCCAAACATTTTGTTATATATTCTGGGACATATCCTTGACTGG